CACAGAATCTGTAACTCTGATCCTAGACAGCACTAGTCCCGTCAGTCTTACAAGTCTCCCTAAATCACAGAATCTGTAACTCTGATCCTAGACAGCACTAGTCCGGTCAGTCTTACAAGTCTCCCTAAATTGTAGAATATCTACCTCTGATCCTAGAGAGCACTAGTCCAGTCAGTCTTACAAGTCTCCCTAAATTGTAGAATATCTAACTCTGATCCTAGAGAGCACTAGTCCAGTCAGTCTTACAAGTCTCCCTAAATCAACTTTAAGCCTTACAGGTCACCAACCCTGATCCTGGAGAGCCCCAGCCCCACTCTAGTTAGTTTTACACCCTTTGATTACCGGTCTTTAATAAAGATTGGGAACATTTGAAAGATTTCGGTCAGTTAAACAAGTAGTTTATTCAACTCTGCGCCTACTTTAACCAGTCACCCTTCTGACTGGTCGAAGATGTTTAAAGTTCAGAGATTATAACCAAAACACGCTCGCCCGTGGCTCCCCGTGACCAGGCTTGTCGACTCTGCCCTGTATCACGTCCCAGCCTTCACCTCCATCGCTGAAGTCCCGGGCGACACTCCTCTTGGGTCTGGAGAGGGGGATCTGGTCAATCCAGGCGTACAGATCCTGCAGCACCTCCTCTCCTGGCTCAGCATCCATCCCAAGTCAAAACGTTTTACCAGCCTCGCCACTGATGCTTAAACACACAAATGTACTTTTTTCTTCTTCGTTTATCTTTTTATTGTAGCGAGCAGCATTAAACCTCTCGAAAGAATTGTTGGTAGTGGTTGCTAAGAGACGAAGCCTTTGTATGGTGGCTGGGAAGGGACAAAATGCATCTCTTAAATGGTAACAAATATTATAGTGGATTGGCGGCATGTCACATTTTCGGTTTAGTATAGTGCGTTTGATTTTTTTTTGGGGGGGGGGTAGGGGGTTGAAGGGCACAATACAGAGATTACAATTTTTTTTCTAATGTGTTGTGCTTTTTTGTGTTCTATATTCTAAAACAAAATAGCGAAAAACTTCAAAACGGGACTGAGTCTTTTTAGTCTCGGCAATTCTCTTGTATTGCTTTTCCCTGGTTGCTCATGATAGTGTATAAGTCAGCAACAGAGTCCGGTTGTTGAATTTTAAACCCCGTTTTGCTTCTCTTCTACTGTTAAATCCGTTACCTCGCCAAATTAAAAAAAACGGAGGTCCTGTTGTGATCAAGGCCAGCAGAGTGATTTCTGCGGAAGAAACTTCCTACATCCCGAATTTAGGGTTAAGGCATTTTCACTAAAAAAAATCCTAATATTCCACCTATTGGTATTTCATTACAACATCCAATAATTGAGTGCTTGTGAAGGTTCGGAATACATAGTGAGAAAAGGTTGACGTAACTCAAATGGTTAATGGGTAGCCTCCCAGTCATAAGGCGAGGAGACTCGAACCCCATTCAGAGTGAATAAACAAAGTTGGAGCTGCAAGGAAGAGATGGGTTGGAGAAGGGATTTTTCACACCAATGCGAAGGGAGGGGTTTGCATTTAGGATATGTAGCTAGTTTGGTGATGATGGTGACTAGGTGCAGGTTTGTGAATTTGACTTTGTTATCATTGTCATTGTTATCCCTTGTGAACTTCAGTCAATAACTTCCATATACTATATTTTTACCCCCTAGAATGCTCCCTCCACCCAAAACTCACCTGTTCAGGCTACAACTGTAGATCTGCTCTTAACTTGACTGTCAATATTAAAGCAGACGTCGGTCTTGTTTTCACTGAGCGTGCAGTGTTGTATTCATTACTGTCTCTTTCACTGTGTAAATGCCTTGTGCTATATTCAACAGAGTGCTTTCATGCATTACATAAAATAGAATAAAATAGAATCTGTGTTTCTTCTTTACCTTACTTGTGTAAATTACCTTTAATGTTTCAGCCAGGTTACTAGATGGGTAGACACAACACATTCTCCATCACGTTCACCAGTTGAGCATTGACAAATCCAGACTTGTGTGCAGGTCAGGGAAAAATAACACTTAAGATTTTTTATTATTTGTTTATTACTTGTAGCACATAAATAACAATAAATACAAGGGTCACAGCAAACTGTTCGTCAAGTTCATTTCCATCACATTGAATTACTTGTAAGGCACCGTGTGAAATACTCATAAAATCAGAATAAAAAATAATTTAACAATGCAATATTCAACTTTCTAGTCTGAATAAAGACATCGATTCAGTCCAGCTGAATACAAGGTTTTCAATTTTCTTGACATCCAGACATGGGAAATAAAAAATAATTCGAAAGCTAACATTTCTGTTTTGCTCACAACCCAGAGTGAATCTGATCTCTCGCCAACGTTCCCCTGTGTGAAAGATGGTGCTGCTGTGTCATGGGTTCCTCGGAATCTGTACTCCATTTGGGCTTCTTGTCTTCAAGCTATGCTAATGTAAGGTAGACCACATTCAGATGCAAAATAAACATAGTTCTCTAAACTCGCAAGTTCGCTTATGTCCCTTCGATTCACATGGCTTGCAGCTGCAGGCTGAGTCAACAATAGGTTTTAATCTGAAGCACTCAGAAGGAACTGCCAAGCAAAGCAAGACTCTTGTACAAAAGGAAGGACTGTGACCTCATGCCAGTCACATAACTGAAACGAGAGGCAGGAGTAACTTCCAATTTTACCCGCTAGAAAAACCAAATAATCTGGGAAAATTCCCTTCATGCTGTGCACAAACTAGCACACATATACTGTATTCATAGTCTTTCCAAGATATCCTGTCATTTTTTCTCCAGAGCATGTACAAACACAAAAAAGCATCGCCGTCTTCTTCAAAATCACTGTCTCGTTACAGTAGCGCCAAGCTCCCCTTCCCAGCAGCGCAGGTTCAGATGCAAGTCCCCGTGGGTCTTCTGTTTGCTCATCATCTCGGCTTGACGGGGGGCATCAGTGCAGTCTTTGGTTTCCCTGCCACCTGTAAAGCAGCATGTCATGATTAAATCAAGCAGCAGTCGTCTACAGCTTGATCTCTCAGAGCTGTGCTTACTTGTCTACAGATAACAAGCAGGTCGAAGACATGGCTACACCCTTCAAAATGAATGCGAGTGCCTTTTTGGTGGGGGAGGGAGCGATCAGTGTCAGGAAGATGGGCTTGGTTAACACAAGCCTGTTGTGGTGATGTTACGCCCCTGGGTCTGTCTGGGGAAATCAGAGTCCTCTGCCACAGGGGGCATTAATTTAGTAAATTATCCTAAATTATCATCCTTGTTTTGATCTAAAATGAGTCCCATGCTGTTGGTCAATCCTGGGTGTGACAGTACAGACTGATAACTGCCCTTAAGCAGTGAGGTGTGTGAAACTGGGAGTCACAACCTCGGCAGCTCTGACCCCTCTGTCATGTTTCAGTGATTGCAGGAATATATATATATATGCAAGAAGACCCCACCTGAGGCTGTTTCCGGTGAGGGGCAGAGCCTGGAGGTTTCACAGGAGGCACTGGTGGAGCCGAGTTTGGCTTCGCCACCTGCAAACGGAAGAACGCGATTTTAGCGGCATTGTCAGTTTTAAAACACTCCAAGTCAGACATGGACTTAAGAGTGTTTTTTTTTTTAAAAAAAAAAAGCTATTCTGAATTCACATCATTTTGCTTGTCCATTTCTTCACCGCTTCATCCAGTTCAGGGTCTGGGGAGCCAGAGCCTATCCCAGCAAGCAACGAGCACAAGGCAGGGTACGCCCTGGATGGGACGCAGGGCACACACGGACACAAACTCAAGACATACACACACTCACACCGGGGCAAATTTTCCAGCATGCCTTTGGACTGTGGGAGGAAACCAGAGCACCCAGCAAAAACCCAAGACAGCACCGAAATGCCATTGGAAATGGGCAGCTGAAAAAAATTACACTGCATAAATCATGTTTAACTCCAATACCCTGTTGAAGAGCGTGGTGGATCTGCATGTCTCGCTCAGTGCTCATGGTGAAAAATGACTCACCTGTTTGACGCTTAGATCAGGCAAAGGCTTCTTGGGTGCAGGAGGTTTGGCCTGAAACAAATACAGAACATATATTTTTAGAACTCCAGTCTCTTTGATCATTAGGTATTTGTGTGTTCCAGAGCACACTCTTGTATTTCAAGTGGAAAACACCAAGAACACCAGCAAAGCGATCTTGTAAGGATCTGATCTGAAAGGCACAAAGCTGTATTTTTCATGCGCCGTTTTTGCTTTTTTTAAAAAAAAACTGCTACAAAAAGGGAATACCCTAAAGATCTGGATAAATAAAATAATTTCTCTTTACCTGAAAACACACTGTTTCAGGAGGTGGAAGAGGAGGTGGCTGGCTGGGTTTTACGATCTGACAGAAGGAAACAGGAAATATTTACAACAGATAAAACTTTTCAGATTTTACATGTGACAAAAATAAGTAATTAAGAAAGACAGCGATTACAAAGCCGGCTGATTCTACCATTACTGCTACAGCTACAAATTAAATACATATTTATATTATCTAAGCGTGAATAAGGGATGGTGGATAGTACTTACTGGGGATGATTTTGCCGCAGACTGAGTCGCTGCTATTTTTGGGGGAGGCTGTTAAAATACAGGAAATAGAAATACACCATCAATGCACAAAAAAACCCCATTGGAACTGAATTCCTGTCCTTGCAGCAGCACCGAAGCGGGCAGAACCACACAGCGGAGTGGGGACGGCCTGGCTTCACACTTCCCAGCAGGCAGAGGAGGGGAGTGGTGGGGCTCACCTGAGGTGGCGCGCGGCTGGGGGTGACTGTGGAACGCAGCGGGGCGCAGGGCAGGGGAGAGGCCGATGACTCCAGGAAGGTGGGGGTGCTGATCCTGGGGGGGGCGCACCGAGGGCTGCTCTTGGTGCTGACCCCGTGGAACAGGGGGTTCGACAGGCCAGAGGCACTGTGGGCCCTCCTGCAGGGGTCGGAGAGAATACAGCATCTGAACAATGTTGACAGTCACATTTCTGTCAGCTTTCCTATGAACATACCGCTTTAAATTTACAGACGAGCATCTTGTCTTTTGATGCATCTGATCTGATTCCCCCACCCTCCAAAAAAAAAAAAACAGATTGAAACTAACTTTTTACTGGAGTAGACTTCCTTCCTGCCCCGTCTGCAGCATATCAGGCCTCCAACGATGAGGGGCAGCAGCACCAAGATGGTGACCACCACAGAGACTGCGATCACCACCGCACTGCCACCTGAGGAGAGAACACGTTTACCTCTCAGCTCCCTACCCAGAATACACCTCTGTCGCTCTTTCACACCACAGAGCGCACGATTAACTATCAGTGACCCGGTGACTGCTCTGAACAGCTTACTGCAACACCTCACTCTCTGGGATTTCCAGTATTAACGACCCTGTCGCATCAGGAAGGGTTAGAATAAAACCCTTTCTGATGCCGCAACCTGCAGGTCATGAACGAATCGCATTTTTTTTCAAACATTATTTTCAAACTTTCATAAAAATGGAAATGAAGGTGCTCACACGCCTTCACAGAAAAACCAAACACACACACGGCCACAACACTCTGCTTGTGTTACCACACAAACAGAAAATTGAAATGATGAACGAAGAAAATTTATTTTTATAATAGACTAGCACTTATAAATAATAAATCATGCTCCTGGGTTTTGCAACCTAAGAGGCTGGAAAGCGTCAGATGGGGCGTTTGCACGTGGACAAGTGATCAGCGCACAGGAACAAGAGCACAAAGACCTGCCTTGGGGGAGTTCGGACAGCTTCACGTCGCAGTAGGGCGGTGCCCAGCCGGGGTCACAGTGGCATTTCCTCTCATGGTTGCACACCTGGACAGGTGAACCAGAACACAGACAGGGGCTCAGGGTCTGACTGCGGGCACACATGGTCTTGGAAGGGAAGGAAGCGCCGACTAACGCCGCGCTACTCACCCCATGGTTATTGCACTTCTCCGAACAGCCCTTCGTGCCGTAAACTGCAATGTCCTTACAGGCGTTACCATAGCAAACCTAGGACGAGGATGTGGAGGACAGGAGAAGTGTAAACAGGGTGGAAACAAATGAAGTCCAGGAAACATCACCTCCTACAGTATCTCCACTGAGAGTAATCTTCCTCTACTAGGGTCGTGGCTCATGTTGAGAGGGTCTCTGTGAACTTTGTATACACTTTTCGTGCAGAGGATGCAATATTTTATAAGGTGGACATATAGAACTGGTTTGAACTGAATTGGAAGAATGCTGGACACAAGGGCTGCTATGTAATTCTATACTGTGTTATAGAGGAATGTGTGCTATACAACTAAGTAACCAATTGTATTAAAAGAAGTTATCTTTAGCGAATAGGGAGGTAGGAAGATGTGCGTGATTTTGGGACACTGCCAATCTTGTCAGCACAGGGAAGTGTGATGGATAATGGAAACATATTTAAGGACTGTCCTAGTTGAATTACTTTGAGAAAAATACACCGAGCATCTCTGTGTGTTGCGCTCCCATGCGCATGACATAAAAGCTTCTTTTAACTTCTGAGACGGACTCCTGACTGTCTTTTAAGGGGAAGAGGGAGGAAAATTTCGCCAACACTCAGCAGTGCCCCCCACACCAAACCCCCTCCATTCCACCACCCGGGGTGACCATTCTGGGGCGCACATCACCCCTTAGGCAGGCTGAAGCCACTTAGCTTTCTAATCCCACCTAACACACACTACTGTAAAAGTCCAGACCTAAAACGCTTCTAAGGAAATTAGAGGAAGATGGATGAAGCTCATTTAAGTGAATAAAAAGGATGGGGATTAACGCTCTTACCTTGTTGTCGCCGCACTTAGTTCCAGTTGGAACAAGACCAATATCCTCCGCTTCTGTGTCGGTTACCTCAGCGACATTGCACTTCAACAGCTGGGGCCAGGACATGGTGAGGACGTATTTACTTTGTGTGACAGGGAGGTCACTGCCCCCAGTGCAATGGATCTTTCCGCATTTAACATCCCTGAGAAAGAAAGCGGCCTCAATTGTATTATAGCAGCACAAGGTTTCCAGGTACAGCAGCTGAGCTGCTTGTCCTCTGTTAGTTTTCATCAGTAAGCTATGGAAGTTCTGTAATTTGCACATTCTGTCTCTTCAAAACTTGCACTTTACAAAAGAGGCCCCCAGGCGCTATGCCCTCGTCCCCAGTAGAGTCGGGTGACAGAGGCAGGTCAGAAAATCTGAGGCAGGCAGGAGATGCCATGTAGACGGTTTTGTTTTGTTTTCTTTCACGCAGCCTCGCAAAATAGAAGTAATATAGCAGTATTGGAACAAGTAATAGGTTTATTCCGTGCTGAAAAGAGAAGAAAGGAAACCCAACGTTTCGGCTGTGGAGCCTTCTTCGGGTGTGAGGAAGCCACCCGAAGAAGACTCCACAGCCGAAATGTTGTGTTTCCTTTCTTCTCTTTTCAGCACGGAATAAACCTTTACACATGCCTTTGCAGCCTACGCATGCTGACGCAGCTACCTACTTGAACGATATAGCAGCACTGCAGTGTTAGTAATAATAGCAGCCATATCGATGAAGACTTACTCCTGTGCACAGGGCTGAGGACCATATCTGGTCTTTTTGCAGAACAGATGTAGATTTCCCTGTTGGTTATTCTTAAAGCAAAGATCTGGAGCAACTTGGGCACCTTAAAGACATAAAAAACAGATCACGGGTAAAAAATGTGCAGGCACAGAAGCTGTAAAGCACAGAAACATATAGTAAACTATAAGGTAAAAATGTCTGATTTGCTTTGGCATTGCATAGTTAAGTCTACACATTTCCTTTGCTGTACATGACAATCACATTAGAAAGTGTAATGTTTCCCTGAATAGGCAAAGTAGGCCGGCATAAGAAATTCAGAATTTATGGGAGATTTAATCTTACGTACGTTTTCTGATGCGTACAGGCTGCTCATGTTTGCTGTACTTGATAACTCAGCAGTGTTTTATAAATCACAATTTTCTATTGATGTCTTCAAATTTATACCACTTTCGATATTTTAGTATATACACCAGCTGAGCTTAATCGGTGTATTGAGGAGTGTGACGAAATACTGCTTTTAAGGGACGGTGCAGTGGCTCTGCACCTATAGCTGGAAGGTTGCTGGTTTGTATCCTGTGGCCGGCAGAGGAATCCTACTCTGTTGGGCCCCTGACCAAGGCCCTTAACCCCCAACTGTTCTAGGGGTGCTGTATAAATGGCTGATCCTACGCTCTGACCCCAAGCTTCTCTCCCTGTCTGTGTCTCATGGAGAGGAAGTGGGTGTGTGCGAAAAAGACAAGGTCCTAATACAAGAAATTGTATATGGCCAATAAAGTGATCTCTTATCTTATCTGTTTTAAAGGCTAGATGGCTAGATGCTAATAATCAGGTAGTTAAAAGAAAAGCTCCAGTGTGCTCCAGGAGTACCTGGCCCCCAGAGAATCTGGCAGTGCTGCAGGTGGGTGGGGCACTGCCCATTGAAGCAGTAGCCCTGGTTATTTTCACAGGGGAGCCCATTCATCTTGAAGTCGTCCTTGGGACACTCTGCAGAGAGACCGCTGCAGAAGTCGTCCAGGTCACAGTCCCCCGCGCTCTTCCTGCACACAACTCCCGCTGGTTTCAGCTAGCGCAGACGGGAAAAAAAACAGGAGTCAGTGTCACAAGGAATAACCACTTCCAGGTACCGGATTGTGAATCCGAGAAGTCACGTTGTGAATGTTTCCTGACTATTTGAAGTACAACAGGTTAGTCCTGACTGGCTTGGTGAAGGGGGCAGTCTCCTGGTCAGAGGACGAGCAGGCTCAGAGAGAGGGGTGTTAACAAGGGGCAGCTGTACCGGAGGAGATGGGGTGGAGAAGGAATGCAGGAGTCAAAGATGCAAAAGTAGTTTTTTTGTGTGAGATATCTAAAGCGACAAATCAGCAATAATTGTTATTTAAAACTGCTGGGTGAAATTGGCTTTGTTTGACATTACCCTACTGAATGCCAGTAAAAGAGCTCCATTTAGTTTACACAAAATATGAAACTACATTTGTGCTCAACGCCTACCTCTGTACTACACTATATACAGTATGAGCAGATATGTGGTGGGAGTTCATGTCTTCCTGCCTGCCGTTCACTATCTTAAAGGAAGTGCTGCAGTGTGTATCCTGTGGTTTCCAGAGGCCCTATCTCCTCTGTACAGCTCGTCCCCCACTGGGAGACCAGACGCAGACTGGCAGCCTGGTGCCCACGTCCGGGGCTCTCTTGCCCCTAACGCAAGGACTCTGAAGGCTCGGTACGAACATTGTCCTGAAAGCTACAGCAAACTTTCAAAGCTGTGAAAGGGAACTTTTTTAAAGTTAAGGGGAGCATTCTTTTTAAGGAACTAGATGGATTGATTCTGAATGAGGCGCACAGCCGGCGCTGAAAACAGTCAAGGGGTAGAGAACTGAGGATGATGAGCCCTGGCCAGAAACTCTCTGAAAAGTTAAGGATGCGATAATAAAACTTCGGCCCCGAAAGAAGAAGGAGACATTAGTGATAACAGGCTATTGGTTTCAGGAGATGGAACTGCTCTAGTGCTTTGGGAAGGCTCTGGAAGGATGACGTTTCTTCCCAGGGCGATTAGCTCTTTCTTGGCCGAACGTGATGGAGGGAGGGGACGCTGGTACCTTGCAGGCCTGGCAGCACTCCCCCTGGGCACACTGCGCTCCTTCTGTCAGGCGGCACGTGGTGGCATTGCAGCACGGGTTCCTGCACTCCTGCAACAAGACACACTGCCTTCAGGGGACTCACTCAGAATGACTGGCGGCACATGGGGTTGGCGGCGGCGGCACAGTGGCGAGGGCGCCGAAAGGTTGCGGGTTCAAATCCCGGTTGGGCACCTGCTGTTGTAGCCTTGAGTGTTGTGTCACATTGTTCCAGTAGAGTGCCGTGTTGCACAAAAGGGTGCACATCTAAGTCTAAATAAGATATTTAGATAAAAACCTAAAGTCTCTTCAACAGTTGATAATAACCTACAGTCTTGTAACGGTGTTCTGAATAAAATAAAATAAAAACTCAGAATAATAATAGGAATTCACTTAGCAAAGTTATTATGACCAAAGCAGAAAATCATATCACTATCCCAACTGAAATGAAAACTGGATTGAAATGAAGTGGATTGTACAATTCAATGTTACAGCTGGGTTTGTGAACTTATTGACTACATTCGCTTAGACATGGAGGTTTTGTGCAATACAGAGCCAAAGACGGGCCACGCGCCAGGGTTTCTTACTTCAACTGTCCCGCAGTCACACTCCTCCCCTGGCTCCAAAAACATGTTTCCACACTCAGGGCCCCCAAACAGGTCACCCGCACTGGGGACGTTGTTCAGACAGGCGGAGCTGATCTGGTTCAGGAACGACTCCAGCTCCTGCTGGCTGCAGCTGCTGAAGCTCTGGGGGAAGACGTCCCTGAGCAAAGAGGAAAAGAGAGCACCCGGTCACCCCTCTCCGGAGACCAGGGCCCCCACACGCGCGTCCCCTGACGACGCTTCTCTCCAGACCTCAGACATCTCACACAGTAAAGTCACCTTCTGGCGTTTATCCCTGCTTTTCTTCCTCCTCAGTGCCACAGTGAACAATGCTTCCGATTATTTTGTTTCACAAAGAAACACAAATCGTGGCAGCCACCCCCCCCTATTAAAATTGCCACCGAATAGCACCCACTTCTTCCCCACTCGCTGAGGCTGGGCCTTTTCCTGGGAAGAGGGCACGGCCTTACCCCACGCTTGGTGCCATAACGCATCCCTTGGGGGACAGAGACTTCTCACAGTAGCAGCTCTCCGTGTCGTGTGACATGCCCAGGTTGTGCCCCATCTCGTGAGCAATGGTTGACGCCAGGCCTATGGAATTGGGGTTGTGGTCCTGCGGACAAAGGGAAACCTGTGAGATCGGGTTCGATCGGTTCGCCACTCGTTACTTCCCGGTTAGTCTTGACCACCAACAGGTTTTTAGATATATATTCACCGGGCCTTGCGACAGCCACTTGCGGTTCGTGTTACACTTTCCTTGTTGCTGGACGCATTGACCGCTGACGATAACCGCGTGATTACCACCATTACAAGTGACCTACCTCGTTAACACCAGCAGAATTGATGGTGCACATCGCAAACTTATTTGCTAGGCCGACTGTGGAGCCAACAAAGCTGATACCCCTGGAAAGAAGAGATGAGCATGAAATTAAAAACCAGGGTTGCACAGAAACAAAAGTGAAATTATTCCGAAATGATCTACGCCGACGGCCTGTAATGTTGTGTCCGTGCACTGTGTGCGTCCTCTCTGAAGCCTAGTCTGCCAGATTTGACTCAGTGGGACAACACTGCCGACAGAAACCGTGGCTAGGTCACAGCGCAGAAGGCTGGGGTACATCTCCTCTATGGCCTGCCTTCATGGACTTCCTCCCATCCTCACAGGACACCCAGAGAACAGGCACAGCACTGGGGTGACCAGCTCAAAGATTTCTTTTTTTGCTGTTCTGTACGCATCATGCAGGAGGTGCTACGTATTGATGGTGGTGGAGGGGAGTCCCCATTACCTGTAAAGTGCTTTGAGAGGAGTGTCCAGAAAAGCACTACAGAAGTGTATGGATTATTATTACTGTAGCTGCAGTTTGTCAATTCATGTGTCCTACAGTTGTTCAATTTGATTTCCCTGAAACTGCCACTAGTTCGTCCTCTGTGCATTCATAGCCTCAATGCACATAGAGTTCACAATGTGAAAATATGAACTTGCGAACATGCAAAGGGCAAGCAGCCCAGCACTTACGTGACAAAGTGGGCATTGTCGTGCCTCTTCTTCTTCAGCAGCACGTTCTTGCGCCATTCAAGGAACCTGGTCAGGGTTTTATCTGGATCGGTACTGACATCGATCTTGTCCCAGTCAGTCCAGACCTCCAGCCCCACCAGCATGACACGGATGTTAATGGTGCGATACAGCTGGAAAGGCGGCGAGAACATAATCAGATTCTTCCCTCAGGACAAAAAGAGGCCGTATGTTTAATGAGTTCATTGATGCTAAAAGCACAGAGGTCTCCTCCCACTCTGGTCTAACAACAGTTACGTTTCCACTTGAGACCATCAGATTATGTTAAGACTAAATGCATATTGAATTTAAAGGCCGAGCTCTCCACTGCATTAACTGGAAGAAAATGGTGAGTGAATTACCTTATCTATATGATTAGTGACGTCCATCATTCGACGACGAATCTGACTCATATCTTTATTATGTTGTTTGTACTGCAATATTAAGAAAGTAACATGATCATCAAGACTGAGGAGTCCATTCTGTTACTATATGCATATTCATTTCTGTAATGAATATAATAATAATAATAATAATTTGATTTGAATAGTTACCTCTGTGTTATCCACAACCAAGAACAACTCCACATATTTTGGGCCTTTTACAACTGGAGCACTTCTCTGGAAAGAAAGAAGAAACTGACTTTATATTTTCTGATCAGGGAAAGAGAGGAAGAACTCTCGGCTCAGAGACAGAGACCTTTCTGCTCCTCAAACTTTTAATTTAAAAACAAAATTCCCTGAAGAAAATGACTTACACTGCAATCTTGAATAACCTTAGTCTGGGGACAGGCTATCTCACTTTCACCCCTTGAGAAACATCTTAATCCCATCGACGTCACCTTCATGAGGCACTGGGCTTCTGCGGGTTTGGGTCCTACATCTTCCCCGAAAACTGGGAGCCGTGCCTTCGCCCAGGAGCACAGCACAGGTCTGACTGACTGACTGACAGGCGGCTGCGTCTTACACAACACAGTACTTACCACAAAGGCACAAACCCTATCAACATACACCTGTCAAACTACAGCCTGAAACTCCAACACAGCAAGGAAATCAAGGTGGCAGATAACAAAAAAAATCCGGGATGAGTCTGACACTGCGCCCAGGACCCGAGGATGGAAAACTCCCCTTACCCAGCTCTGAATCCTGATGAAACCCGCGGGCTTGGGGTCTTTGTCAAAGACGGTTCTATTGGCCTCTCGGCAGGCGGATCTCTTCCTGCGCAGGTGCTCCTGCCTGTAGAGGGCGTGCTCTCCGTCCGCAGAGCCACCCAGGGGCTCGATCAGGAAGAGCTTCTGCCCGGCCCTCACCAGTCCCCTGCCGCACGGAAAGACAGAGCACCAGTCACTGCGAGTGGGAAAGACCTTCGCGCAACAATATTTCCCCAAAAATAGCCACAGAAACGACGGTCTAACCACAGGCAGGGGAGTCACCCTCACTGCAAGCTAGCAGCTTCCCGTTGAGAGCAAGCAAGCCAGAAAAGTTAGATTTGCAGCTGTCCTGTTCACAGAACTGGGGTCTGAAAGTTGAATCAAACCACATCCTTCAACATCATCTGCAGGAGGTCAGAACTCTGACTTTTGGAGCAACTGCTTTTAGTTAAACAACATGATGCTGTGTCCTCAGAAGAGCTCTGTGCCGCTCGTGAGATGAAACTCTCCCCCCCCTTACGCAGAGGTGGAGAAACATCCCCTCTGGGGGCCAGAGCATTTATCAGTTCTTCACTTTCAAAACTCTTTGATTCTTCCATCTTCAAACTACCCCACGACATGTTTATTTATCATCACTGTGCTTTCTGTCTCTCCTTTATACTGTCTCCTGCCGGTAATTACTACAGCTAGCAGGGTAGGAGCCAGATGAGGGGCTTTCAGAGAAGCACTCTTGTTAGGCTTTTCTCAGAGATGAGATTCTCGCTTTCTGGGGGACCTGTGGAGTTGTTCACTCCTGATGGGAAAGTTCTGCAAATACATGTCCAGTAATAAAGGTTTTAGGTGACTCATTCTGGAGTATTACACAGGTCATTATTAAATATGGTGGAAACAAAGTACTGTACCTCCTGTGACATAGCGCTGTACTGGTTTGTGTAGTACAGGCAGAATGAGTGCACCATGCCTTTTAATGGTATATTGATCCTAGTAATTACCAATTAACTGATTAGGGAGCCAGCTGCAGGAGAATTCTGACATGCAATCTCCACTACATAACTAAGAGAGGAAATAGTCATCAGCCCTGGAAACCACCCAATATCAGCTATTTAACAGGCATACGAGTGGGAGCTACATACAGTCTTGCGTATTTAAAATTAATAATGATTAAGAAAATTAATAATAATTATGTTCTTTCTACTGTTAAAGTGATGACAGAAATGACTTCACGAAGGTTTTGAGTAATAAATATTGCTAAATGGGGAGAGACACCACTCCCTGAGTGGTAAACAGGATATGACAAATTTTCTTAGTTCTCTGAACTGAAAAGAGGAAGCTGAAAAGCACACTGGGCTTTTGGGGGTGCAAACCAGGGGACACAAGGGGGACACAGTAACTATTACTGGACTATACTTTCTTTTCTAGCACTATATAATAGACAGATTTTGCTCTTGCCAGATTTTCCTTGTCGATACCGTAGATACAGTAGTTTGACTGTGTTTAAGTCAAATATGGGTTAAGTTTTTGGAAAGGCTATAAATTTGATGAGATCTTATAAGACAGAGAATATTATTGTCTCATCTGTCCACCATTCCTTCCAATCTGAGGAGCTGGTTTCTGATTCCCATTTATGCTGCTCAGGGTCCAAAGAGAGATATACAGTAGACAGGTGGCTTGTGTGGATAAGAGCATTATGATACAGAAGTGGGCAAATCAAACCTATAAGTACCTGATTCCAGAACACACTTCAACACTGGCTGACGAATCATTCATCCCCTGGATGTGTCCCTGATAATAGCAGTGATCCTGCATAAAAGTCATAAAATGCATCAATTAATATTCTGATTAATCCGAATTCTAGGACTGCAGACATCATAAGCATGGTTGGACATGCTTGTTAAGGTAATGTCTTTGCTTACCTTTAGGTTTGGTGTGCTAGTCACCTCTGTACCATTTTTTAAATAATGCGTTTCCGTATAGTCTTTACCCAATAGATTTCTAAGTAAAGAGAGAGCAGAAACTTTGGTTAATACAATAAACACATAACATTTAAATGGAGGAACATAAATCATTTCTGACTTGCGTCTGAGTACCCCAAAATTTCTAGAAAATAATGTAATACAACAGAAGAAATTAAATGGGCAATTCTAGCCCATTCCTTTCCCACAGTATATTCTCAAAGCAAATTGCCCCCCAGTCACAAGAAAATAATAAGCTGTTTCATGCAGATGGAACTCCAGCGTTACTCAGAATGCAATTTCGCCGACGTTTCTAGGAAAAATGTATCTTGCCTGTTTTTTTCAAGATGAAGAGTGTAGTTCCTGCCTTCTATGGTCAAAGCATACCGCAGCTCTTCAGAATACAGCCTCTGCAATTACAAACGCAAACCTCAGCAATCCTGACGATCTGGACAAGGCAGGGTCACGTTTGTGAAGAACTAGATGTATACTGGCAAGCAGCTAAAGCATCCACTAAGAAAAATGGATTAGGGGAGGTTATACGGGACTGTTTGAAAGACACTCCAGTCACTGGATGGTTGCGATGCTGCGTGCCCTTGGGGGGGAGGGAAGGACAAGGGGATGCAAAGTCAAGAAACTCTTCTACAGAGAAAGCACAGACCATTCTCTGTCTAATGCATTCGAGATCTATCAGCTAATCAGTTAATGAAGCGAAGGCTCCCATCGGCTCCGAGGCTGAGACCACTCCATGCCAGAGGAAGCTATTCCACTCATTTCCCCCTCCCCTCGCTGACCCCTGAGCAATGCTGCTGACCGGAGCTCTGATTCCGTCACGATACTGGGGCCCCCAGCTGCCGGCAGCTTGGACTGCACTCGGACAGAGGAGTTTCGGGGCAAGATCTGCAGTGTGCGGCGCGTAGCTGTCGCCCACATTCACATGGCTCTGGGCCGTGGGGGAGGAGTGATGACTCCTGAAATAACGAGGCATTAATGGTCCCTCGGGGCTCCTGCTGTCACGCAATGCATGAGGAGAACAGGAAAAAGGAAGCATTGATCACAGAGCAGGCAGCATGGCAGTGCAGTGGTTAGCATGGCTGCCTCACAGTGCTGGGGCCCTGGGTTTAATTCCGGGGGTGCGACTGTATCTGGACGGAGCTTGTATGCCCCCCCCGCCCTCCCGTGTTCTTGTGGGTTTCCTCCCACAGTCCAAAGACTTTGGGAAAATTGGCCCCGACACGAGTGTGTGTCTGTGTGTGCCCTGTGATGGACTGGCGTCCCATCCAGGGTGTATCCTGGGTATTGCTTTCTGGGGTAGGCTCTGGCTGCCCTGCAACTCTGTGTACTGGAAAAAGTGGTTAGAAAATGGATAGACGGATGATCACAGATGATCACAGAGGCACAAGGCCTCCCTGGTCTAGCACTTACTCCCAAAACCCCAATTACTCACGCAAACCCTGGGAAGACAGAACCGTAGTCGAAATGCTAAGGCCGAGAAACTAGAGGCCACCCCTTGTGTGCACACCTTGTTATCAGCACGACACCACCCGCTTTCGGGACAAATCGTTCATTTGCAGAGGCTTTTCAAGCCGCTTTGCGTTTTCAGCCGTTTGACCTTGATAACATGCGTCACACAGCGATACCCTTTCTCCTCTATGCGGGAAAAGACTTGTATGGAAAAAAAAAATCTGCCTCTTGGATACACACCTTGTCTGTAGAAAGACTCCTTTTTTCTCGGGCATTATTCAGCCTGCGAGGCGATATAACCTCGTACTTCTCCACGTCAGGAAGCGAGGATAACGCATTGACAAGCAACGCTGAAAATAGAACCCCCAAAAAAACTCAAATTAAAAATTCCTTTTCGCATCGATCTAAATTACAAATATTTCTGTCTTTGAAATAAAAACAGTACACTACTACGTTTCCTGGAATGCACAATCCTTTATATGGTGTAGTTTAGCGCAATTCGCCGCAGTCTTACCACAGAGCGCTTGGCGAATTTGTATTGCAGCTAAACCGCAAAACTAAATAGTAGCGATTCTACTATCTCGGCTCTGTATTTGGTTCATTTTCTTGGTATTTAAACCACCGCTTATTTTACATGTTTGTGGCATATAAAGAAGTGAATATATATATACGCATCTGAATAGTGTTTTGGGATGCATTAAGTAAAATACCAAGTAACCTTTGGTTTAACTGGGTCAGTTCAATGTTTTTTCTTTAACGTTTCGTATTTACTTGGGTGCTACTGCTCAGCGCTCGGGTTTTCTGGAAAACCAAATGTATATTCTGAAGAGCGAAAACAAAGCACAGACAGACGAGAGCTAAAAGTACCAACAGGCTCCCGTCATTGGAAAAAAAAAACACTTTTTGCTTAAAAAATCTTTACAATAACGGAACTTAAGTGTTAAAAACTGTGATGTCAAACGAAATTTCCCCGAAAGGAGAGATTCAACAATTTAGGTATCCGCTGAGAGAAAAAAAAATAAGAAAGAAACAAGTAACAATCTGATTTCGGGATCATTTCACAGACAATTGCTGAATGATCAGAATGGGAACTGTGTCAGTGCTTCTTGTAAAAGGTTTAAAAAGTTATGCATCTTTTTTAAGATCAAACATGCGGATTGTGTGCGGAAAAATTAAAGCAAAAGTTAGAGTTAAAAATGTGAGAATAAAGGTATTCAATTTTATTCGTATAAGTTTTAAAGTTCAAGTTGTATTCATAATACATGTTTAATGTATTGTGGTTCATGTCATCTTTTCGAGTCGGCTTTTGTCAAGGCGTCAGACAATCAACTACTCAATATAATATTAAAACGATACCATTCAAAGTAGTAAAGGCACATCACGCAATCCCGCAAGTACCGCTACACGTCTTGTTAAATATAAAAACAGAGGTTAGAGTGTCTGGCACGACTGAGATCCAAACGCCTGGACGTTTTGAATTCATTCAGTCAACCCACTGAGCACCGAGCTTACCCCACGAGGAAATGCAGATGAATGAAGACAGGACAATCCCGCACATGTCCCCGCCGGTCCGCTCTCCTGCTTCCAGATGTGAAAAAACCTCTGAAATTAGCTTCGCAAGAAAACTTCGCCTGTTTTAGCACCGCCCCTTCCCGGAGCCGCGGAGCGCAGCGTGGCCTGCCCAGCGCTCCAGTCACCCGCTGACTCACACAGGTCACTTCTCTCAGAGGAAACGGCACTTAATTGCCGCAACGGTAGAAACGCTTGAGTCAGCTCACCTTTCAGAATTAAACTTTTTTTTTTCCCCATCGCCCTTTTCCGGTGCGGATGTCTTATCTGTTGTTTTCCGTTGTTTCTGTCACTCTGCTGGAGGCACGCAGGGCCTGTACGTCCCGTTTGAGGAAAAGGGGTCGCTTTGGTGGAAACAGTGTGAAGGATTCATGTCCGAGCTGGTACCACTCGCGTAGGGGCAGTTCTCTGTGCTTTTTGAAAACCTAAATCCGAGCCAACTATTGTAGGGACTGAAATCTTTCGGTGTTTTATTAACAAAAAACAAACACAAAGCTACACGCATTATACAGCATACAAATTTTAACCAAAAGTGGAACCATTCATAATCTCGGGGTGTTCACCTAGCGAGCCCCGAAGCGATGGATTATACCCACGGCTCAGGACCAGCTGTAGTGCAAGAGGAAGTGCTTTTCTGAGTCACTGCGTGCCATGAAGCCCAACCATTCTTCACTGTCAGGAGCCGCCGAAGACAACCTCCAGCAAAGCATGTTTACTGAAAATTAAGGAGCCAGGTAATTTGTAAAAGATAAGGACTTGTATCAACTCCTCCCCGATACTTAAATTGATGAGGAGCACCTAAAAACTACGGGACGTACAGACCTTTTGTACTTATATACACGTTTGTACTTTATACACAAGATATACACTCATTTAGAAAAAAATATGCCAGAGTAAAAATAATTCAGTGAAATAAGAGAAACCTTGCGTCTTTGTATAACTCACATCATGTCGGTTCTGTGAAAAACCTAATACAGGATTAAGACACTGTTGATCTTCTTTATCATTATAATTTTTAACCACAAAAGGTTGTCAAGACTGTATGATATACATGTCATGCTCCAGACCATAAACATACATATGTATTGCATCAAATATAAAAAAGATTTTAAGTACACGTGGAAAAGTGAATTTCCTGGTTTTAGCAAATCAAAGATACACAGCCGCAGAAGAAGTATTGTCTTATTAACTCGATGAGTTTCAGACATGCTTATTAAATTATGTTTGTCAATGCAGTATTTTTTCTAACACAAATATACCTTACGGAGTATTATGAGTCCAGTAAATTAGTTTACCTGAGGCTGTCAATTTTATGCCAATACTTCCATCTACACCCACACACCCAGTTTGCACACTTTGAAATCACTCCGGCTATAAAAATATTCAGAGCAGAGCTGAGCGGTGCTTACCGATTCTGTAAATATTAGGAACAGTTCTAAAAAGTGCTAAAACAACGACTATCTACAAATACACTCCCGTTATTCATCTAAAGACAGCGTTAAAACAACTGTAATACAAGAATAATGTAACTCAGTTTTAGAGGAAGTCCTTTTTAACTGACATGGTCAAGTTAATCTTTAACGTGCATCTGTATCCCAGGTGTGGAAACCTACGAAGTATTACACTTATATTTAAATGGCACGGTCTTACACGAACCACTTAAGTCTCTTCTGTATTGTACGTGAAAGAGCTGTTTTTCCACTGTGAAACTCCCTGTTCAAAATGGAAGACGTTGTTTCCATCGGCACTGCTGCCTCCCCAGGTTCACACGGGCGGAGCACATCTAGACAGCGGCCTTCTGACTCCTCTCTATGGACATGCGCTCCAGCCGCTCTGTGTAGAACCCATTGAAATCCAGCCTGCAAGACGAAACAGGCAAATGGCGTTCAGTTACACGCGCGCCGCTCCCGGCTTCCGCACCTCTCCTCTCCTCTCCTCAAGGGGCACGCACCGGTAGATGATGTTGATCATGCTGTGCTCGCAGTCGTTGGTGCTGTAAATGCTGAGCTTGTCCAGCAGGTCCAGGAGGTGGGTACTGAAGTTGTTGTCGAACTGGCTGATAGTTGCCTCAAATCCAGAAGACGACTGAAGTGCATCTGCATGTTCTGCCAAATACTGGACAAACACAAATCAGATCAGAAAAAAAAACCACCGTCACAGCCCAAAGGGTTTTTTTTTACTACAATTTTTTAAAACTTTGTTCTGCATTTTTACTCCATTATATAGCATTTTTTATTTTGACGTAATATTGTCAAATTCTGACGTCCAGCAATATTGGACAATTGTAATTCCGCAATGTCACGCCATTCACTATGATGAAAGTGTCTGTTAACTGTAACAGATTTGAATTCTAACCCTTTTACAACTTGAATTCTATCCTTCAGTTACTCCCGGGTCAACTGTACTCTTAATCAGCTCAGATTAAAGCGTCTGACAGAACGCCGCGATCCCTACAGTCACTCGTTGCTCGGACGGGTCGGCTCGCACACCTTGGAGGTCAGTCTTTTCTTCTCCGCCTCCTCTGACCGCTCGCTCTGGGATGGGGGACCGCTCATCGTCCCGTGCTCGAGCGAGAGGCGACTCATCTCGCTGTCCACCCTCATGCTCTGGGTGAACCTCTGTGAGGAAGGAGCGACAGCACAATCACCACCCCGCCTAGGTGGCCATTTGCAAAACATTAGAAGCAGAGGGGGGAGACTGAGGACATGGTGGAGGGCAAGGGGAGATTCCATTAAAACGTGTGGCGGTGATAGTTACAACAAACACCACGCAAGTCTCAAAATAAAATGGAACTAATTAGGAGCAGTGTATTAGTAAGGTAGCGTCAAAGTCCTATGGTTCCCACAGCTATATTCACCACCAACTAAACTCCAACAATGCTTCACCTGTTCACTCATTAAACACCCCCAGCAATTAACACTGGGCAGGGATATACAGAGCTCCACCCACTTGTTCAGGTCCAGCCCACTAAAGCCCCTCCCATCTGTTCTTGGTCAGGTTCAGCCAAAAACTGTACATTTAACTACAGAGCCCCTCCCACTTGTTCAGGTTCAGCCAATAACTGCACATTTAACCACAGAGCCCCTCCCACTTGTTCAGGTCCAGCCTATTACAGAGTCACTGGCTGATATTTAACCCTGAAGTAGGCGGAGGCCTGTAACGCCAACAATCCAAGGAACTCGCACTCATTTCTAATCGGGACATCATGATTAAGACAAAACCTGACCATTACAAAATTATTTATTATCCATTTACAATGGATAGGGATTTATGTCAATGGAATACGCATGTGTCGTTTTATGTCTATGGAATATGTATGTGTTAGGTTTCACTATCTCTGTTCCTAATTGTCCCTGCTCATTCATCCAAACACTCTCATCTAGTGGCGTAGAAACATGTGACATTTCTGTGTGTGTCTGTCTAGTCTGTAAGGTCTCTGAGACTCCATCAATGCAACTTGCAACTGAAGATAAGTATCTTATTAATATCAGCCTTTGTATTTTGTATTAATAAGCTTTATGTAGAGGGCACAAGTAAAAACAATGAGATAGTGCACTTAAAACCAAGAACTAGCATACAGAACAAACCACCCAGCGTTGCTGTTGAAACTGATACACTGGGTTCTTCCAAGAAACAGCTGGATGAGATCCTTGGATCAATTAACAACTAATTACCAAATGGCCTCCTCTAGCCCGTGACCGAGAGTTACTATGTTCCTACAGACCTGCATGCAGTTGGTGAACATGACGCACACAGACATCAGCTTGGAGAAGATCTTGAGCAGCTCAGGGTTGGTCAGCATGCAGTCCTTCAGGCAGTTATCCAGAAAGCTTGTGTGGTGGCACAGTACATCGTCAATGTTTGATGCCTGCGAGATCAATAAAGTACAAACCAATCAATATCAAGATCAATGATGTCTATACACCCTTCTCTCCACAGACAGCCTGCTGTTTAAAATCTAATTATATTATCAGTTTCAGATCCACTTTCACTCCAACCCCTCCTCCCTGCCCAGTACAGAAAAACCTTTCAGCAATATCTTTACATCAGACCTGACTTTGAGTAATGGAATGGAAACAATAGCACCCTGTGACAATCACCACGGGGTGTAAAGTGTGATCCATTTGAGAAAAAGCAGGAGTGAAAGGAGAAAGTGTGTCTTTCAGACAGAGACGTGCTTGTCACAGCTTTCAAATCACTAACATCCCAATAAAGAGGACAGGACGCTACATATCATGAGTGTTGCCTGAAAGCCCTGGAAAAACCGTCTTTAGTATGACCTCTCCTCTAGCTCAGGCAAATTCAAGTTTTTTTTTCCATGACCCAACAATGCCAGGTTTGTTGTGCTTACTGATTTCAGGTTATTCTCCATGATGTGCCACGTCGGCTCCATAACTTCAAACATCATGTAATACTGGATATTCTGCACGAAATTCAGCATGCGCTGTCTCAGAGTAAAGGCTGCGGCAAACCTAGAAAGAGGAGGCAGTGTTTAAAATGAAATCTGATCTTTGAATTCCTTCTCGTGCAGCAAGCTTATATTTTTGTGTAACATTACCACTTGGCAGAATGCAGTGAATACTGCTTGGCGGTCTTGTTGCTGATCCACACATTGCACAGCAGCCTCTCCACATGTTTGCAGTAGAACATGTGTCGGAACAGCATCTGGTATCTCGTCAAAGCCTTCCTGTGACAGGACAAAGCACACCACAGCTTAAAAGTCATCTCGGGTAGTTTGTGCTTTCTCTTCCAGTCTTTGATGCCATTAAATCTGATTACAAAATTGAATCTACAGGGTGGAACCATCAACGATTTATACAACTATGTTCTTCAGTCTAGTCAATCAACCAAGTAAAGCATGACACCCATTAATCTCTGGGTCTTTACCTGTTAATAATGAGCGATAGTGGCCACTTGACAATATAGTCAAATGAAAAGGCCTCCAGCCCACTCAGGGAGATTTCAGTGGGGTCTGCGTTGATGATTGCTTTCTCCTGCTTCGTCTCTATGGCTAGAACCCGCAGCAACTGAGTGATGACATCGTGTGGCATCAGGTCGATCTGCCAAGTCAAATAAAATGCGTTAAGCCTGTTAACATATTATGGACTTGAACACCGAAGCCATGCCAGAACTCTATCCAGCACAAAGAGAAAACCCAAGAGATACGCCATGAGACCCGCCCAGCGGTAGCCTGCTCCAGGCCAAACTGATCTGCCACCAAAATGCCACGCCTCTTACAGGAAGAGTAAACAGAACCATGTCACTGGCAGACAGGTAGGGAAATCTGAACTTCTGCTTCTACCACACAAGCTAAGTGGTGCCACCTTGTGGACAACTGGAGATACTGCCTGTAAAAAACCCTTGTTATGCTTTTACTTTACAACTGAGAAACAAATGCAAAAGAGTCTGAACTTAAACAGTTCTGCACCTTTAAGTCATCTTTGAAGGGGTCTGTATTTGCAGTGCTCATCCTCAAAGCAAGCTCCAACAGAGCCTCTAGCCTGGGAGGTATGATGTCATCAACAGGCTTCTTCAGTTCCTCCTCTGTCAGGTCCATAAAATGGACAAAGAAATCACCCTTGTCCATCAGGAAGTAGTGCTTTATTGATCTATACAAAACAAAATTAAACCAAAGGTTGTCAAAGCATGCATGCACAGTATTAAATCATAAATTACATTTTGATTGATAAAAATATCAAGTGAAAACCATCTTGATAGCACAACTCACTGGGCCCAGTCTTCCCTGTGGGCAAATCATAAGCCAGCTATTCACCCGATTAATTTAGTATGGAGCCTGCAGTTCTGCCCACATGGCAAGCAACCATTCCTGTACCCACAATGCTGAAAGGTCACAATTTGGAGATCACATATGGCATTTGCCAAAAATGAATCACAAAAGTCCAACTGTCAAATCAATGTACAACATTAACAGTGAAAGTTGATTTCGTAAAATAAATCCAGGTGATAGAACATTTCTAGACTCACAGATTAAACATAAACTGAATGATATTTTTATGACATGCCCAAGAAAAAGGCACGACGCATTTCTCGGTCACTGAAGAGACCACTCTAATATGTCGGCCCATCCATTTTTTTTTTTTAAACTGCTTCATCCAGTACCAGGTCGCTAGGGAAGCCGGAGCCTCACTTAAGTATGTGTATCAAAAATCTTTGATGACACATTCACATCTGCGATGCGCGACTTTGAAGTTACCAAGCGCGCGAGGCAGTTGTCACACAGCCGGAGAGCAGCCGCCCCCAGCGCGACGCCCCTGACCCCGGCGAGAGTACCTGAGTCGCGTCACCAGCTCCTTCTCCTGCATCAGGAAGTCCAGCAGGACTTTGCTGGCGTAGTTGTAGGCCTTCTCGATCTGCTCCACGTAGGCCCGCTCCTTCAGCGTGTAGAGGACCTCCCTGGCGTCGGGGCAGGTGACGTCCCGGCCGCACTCCCTGACGACGTTCAGGTACTTGCCTGCGCGAGCAGCGCCACCGGGCACAGAGCGTGAGCCAGGCCTGCACACGCCGCCCCGCACTGCTCGTCACGGTGTCGGGGATCACAGATCACGGCGCGGGAATGACACCGAACCATCCACCCACCCATTGCCGCTTTATCCAACACGGGATTGCAGGGGGGGCCAGAACCTATCCCGGCAAGCAACAGGCGCCAGGCAGGATAGACCCTGGACAGGATGCCAGTCCATAGGCAGGCACACAGTCACACCAGGCCCAGTTTTCCCAGTAGCCAATTAACCTGCCAACAGAGCCCCCTGGAGGAAACCCACGCAAACATGGGGAGAATGTACAAACTCCACGCCAACAACTCCAAAGGTTGGGAATTGAACTCGGGTCCCCAGGGCTGCGAGGCAGCAATGCTACCAGCTGTGCCACCATGCCACCTAACTCTGAACCAAGAAGTGCAAATCAGACACACTGACAATAAAACGCAAAGACCCAGACCTACCTGTACTCAGTATCTTGTCCGCCATCTTCTGGAGGAAGGATGGGATCCGGAGCTGCACTATTGTATATCGCTGATCCCAGTACTTGTCATTATAATCCTCCTGGATCTTCTCCTTCTGCAGCTCATGCTCCTCCACCATGAATTCACTAAGCACAGGAGAACCTAGTCATTACAACTTCAGTTGTTCTTCACTTTCATTGACATGAAAATGTTGTGTTCTGTCTCATAGAAGGAGAGCATCTTAAGAATTGTTTCCAGAAGATCAATCAACAATAAGGCACAAGTTACCAGATAGTCAAGTATCAGATACATTTTAATTTTAGGATTTTATTTTACCCAGAATACTCATATCAACTTGAATTAACTTCAATTAGTGGAATTAACTTTTGGAGTGAGTGTAAGTGTTTTTCTTTGTAACTTTGGCAAAAAAAAAAACAGGAGACAATACCGTAGCAAAACATAGAATTGGCTGTAAAAAAAAAAAAAGCATCAGGCTCTGAGAAGGAGCACAGAGACACACCTATCAACATCCTTTCTTTCCTGAACTCGGAGCACAACAAGTCCTGCAGTCACTGACCTGTAAGGGTCCTTGATGATCCCCCTGTAGATCCACTTTTCCAGAATTTCAAAATAAGGAACACTTGCAGCCTTAGTGAGATAGAGACACAGCTCTTGGGCCTGACTGTCGCCTGTGTAGTTGAAGGTTCGGTCGTGCAGAAGGCTCAGTGTCGACCCACCCATGCAGTCTCCCTTGTCAATCGAGGTCGCTAGATAAAGAAGAGGAAGACGAAGGGATTCAAAATTGAAAACATCACAGAAACATCTTCCACGCCTCCCCACACAACGGATGAAGCACCACAATGCAGCCGCTGTGCTCTAAAAACACACAGCTAAAGCAATTCTTTACAGGGAACGTACCAATCGAAGCCAGGATTTCCATCGTGCGCATCGTAGGTTGGATATAAAACCACAGTTTCTGCAAGGAGAGCATCCCCTGCCTCTGCAGGTGTTCCAGCTGCGTCACCAGGATCATGTACTCCTTCATCAACGTTCTCATTGCAGCCGTTAATGCGTGATTTACCTGGCCGTACTCAAAAGAAGACTTCTCCTCAATAAACCTGTGGGCCAAACCACAACACGAGCCAAGGAAGAACAATGTCAGAGAGAGCTTGGTTTTTTTTTCTTAAAAGACATAGACATTGCACAAAAAATGGCCTGAACTGCTTAATGGACAACTTGCTGAATGCTCTTCTCCACCAGGCACTTCTTCATGACTGATAAGTAACATGTCATGTCACGAATTTGCCAAACTGCTAAAACTGCTATATACCATATGGTGTCGTGAGAAGCCGGAGCCTACCTGGCAGGCAACAAGTGCAAGGCAGTGGCCGCCCTGGACACAGCGCCAGTCCATCGCAGGGCAAGTGTAAGCCAGCCATACATGGGAACAATATGGAGGCAACGGAGAAGGCTAAGTGTGTACATTCGGCCCGGACACCGGGATAACTCCTTACTTTTATCGAGAAATGCCCGGGGATCTTTAATGAACACTGAAAGTTAGGACCTCGGTTTAACGTCTCATCCGAAAGACGGCGCCCACTACAGCAAAGTGTCCCCGCCACTATACTGGGGCATTAGGACCCACACAGACTGCAGGGTGGGCACCACTAACGCCACTTCCAGAAGCAACCATAGCTTCCCAGGAGGTCTCCCATCCAGGTACGGACCGGGCTCACACCTGCTGAGCTTCAGTAGGTAGCCAGTTGAAAGCTGCAGGGTGATACAGCTGCTGGCAATAAGTAATATGCTCACATGAAACCAAATGAGCTGATACAGCAGTTTCTGTTATTTGCTACTATCTCTCCACTGCTGAATGCATGTTCCTTCAAGGCGTGTGCCGTTTCTCATTTTCACAGCTATTAACACATAAGACAAGGTGGCAGATGACTGGAGGAGTCTACCGGTTTATGATAACAAATAGGGAAACAACAGTCACAATTACTTTTATAATCCATCATTTTTAACAGGTTCAAGGAAGCTGAAACAACAAACAAAAGTTGTACGCTGGTAAAACAAAATGAAAAGAATGAGACACGAGCAATTCTTTATATCATTTTGATGCTTGCACGAATAAAGTGACACTTTTCAACATTCTTACCGCGTAACTGTGGAATAACTGGCTGCTACTGGAAGGATCCTGTTCACCAGCTCTTTAATGGACACGTCCAGAGTAGCATCAATGCTGAAGGCGCGACTCTGCCTGCCTATGACAGGCTGGGCTGTGATGTCCCTGCCGTCCACTCCAATCAACAGATACAGCAAGTCTTCTACCAACGCTTGCTCTTGAGCTGCTAATGGCAGGGTACCTAGAGATGGGCAGTAATAAACAGAATATTGAAACTAAATAAGCACACAAATGAGAAGCAACAGGAACTGATGCTACATTTCATCTTTCTTAAATGCACAAAAAAGGAAAACCAAACTTTTTTTTTTTACAAATTGTAGATGTATTTGATAAACCATTCTGTTCATCCACTCCACTTAAAATGCTGTAATAGTAAACGTTGAGCAATGCGGCGTGGATAAAATTAAAACTCGGTCTCATTTTTCTGATGTGCAGAGAATTGCACATCGCAGCTTAGAAAGACTTACCAATAGGCACTGCTGAGTCAGTCCCACTGGAGCCGGTGATAAAATCCCCAAGAAGAGCAGGCCTGTCGTACACCCAGTTGGGAAACACTGGAATTGGCTGCAGGGGACTCTTCTTATTGTGTCTGTCCCTCAGCATCTTCCTCGTCACCTCGGAGGGCTACAGGAAGGACACACAAGGGTGGAGTCCCGCCTTTCTAAACGTATTTACTTTGCTCCAGTAAACTTAAAGCAATCAACATAGAAAAATGCAAAAGGAAATCCTAACACTAAAGCTTGTGCCGTGCAAAGTTAGAGCATGGGACACAACATTATTCTACAAAGGTTATTCCCGACTGTACAAAAGGTCTCTAACCATACTCCTGGGAAGCTTAAGTGGCTTCTGCTACTAATTCGAGGCAACATTTCAGCCAACTTTTGGTTTAATAAGCCCATGTGAACACTTTCTTCCAATCACAGACTGGGGCTCTCTGTTGCCAGGGCTCTTCAATACACACAGCAGTGTAATGTCTCTGACTTCTTAATCACAGGAAGACAGAAGAGACTGAGGAGCCTAAAGAGGATATGAGCTTACCTGCTGTACACTGGAGCTGGCTGCCACATTCCCAAGTTTCTTCCTTAGCTCCTCCAGCTCTTGCATGGACATCTTTGTGCTGGTGGCAGGGATGCTGAAGTTTGTGCTGCTGGAGGAGGCACTGGCTGACTGCTCAGATCTTTCCTTGGCATTCTGCTGTAGACACTGCAGGGTCTAAAAAACAATGAAATACCCGCATTTACTGTAAGACTGCTACAGCCACGTCCCTCACATCAAAGTGTTTTTATTATCTGCAAGTACTTCCATCACCTCCTTATCTTCAGTCAGCTTGGACAGCAGGTAGACCAGAGGATCCACGTTTCGCACATTCCTGGATTTGAGCTCATCGTATTTCTTCAGGAAGTCTTCTGGTGTCTTCGAAAATTCCGCTATTTTTACCTGCAATGAAACATTTTCTCAGTCAACCGATAATTGGCTGGTTAAATATTTCTTTTAGAAAAAACAAGACTGATGCAAAACAATGGTACTTTGAAGAGATAGCCAACATGGATTTAGAAAGGGAAGATAACTTACTGGAACTTGCTGAACAAGCAGTAAAGACAAAAGTTAACACAAAATTACGTGACATATTTAGATTTCCAAAGTGTTTGAAAAGGTCCCTCATAAAGACTTAACTGTCCAATCAAACTAACATAATGTATGGACATGGATACCAAACAGAGAACAGCACATCATCTGAAGGGGAATGTCCTCTCAATGGGCTGATGTAAGCAGGGGTGTACCGCAGGAACCTGCAATTTCCCTCACGGGATCAATAAAGTTTCTATCTATCTTTAGGCCAGTTTCTCTTTCCTATATCGGCTAATTTAAATTCTGCTATATTTTGGAAACTAATTAGATTTCCAGAAAACGCAAACATAGGAGAGGCGCCCCACACAGAACTTCAGCTACTGAACTACAAAGACACACGGATGAAATCAAGGACAAGGAATCACGTGATTGCACATGAAGTTTATGTCAACAGTGCAATCTGATCCACAGAGGAACACACACTACACATA